GGGTCGAACGGTCGACGGAAAAGTTTCTAATTTTTTGCCCGCGATCGAGACGACGACGCTTTGCGAGTTGACGACGCAGACTGTCACGACCCGGCCCGGTGTACTCGCAAGTGCGAGGCGGGACGACATACAGGCCAGTAAGAAAAGAACAACATTACATCATATTAAGAGAACGGTCACACTATAGTAATCCGTATTCGAGATGATTTCCAATAATCATGGATCAAAAACCACTATTTCAAACTACTTTCTTTTACTTTCAATTCATTAATCAAATAATTATAGTACAAAGAGAGTCATCAAATGAGGAACTAACATAGTACTACTTCCAAAATCTTTCTACAACTATTAACATCTAATCACAAAACAACAAGAAGACAAAAGAACCTGCCCGCCCAGTCGTCTCCGTCACGACGGTAAGTGAGCGGAGTTGGTCCAGTCAATTATTACTCTTCCTAGATCCTCCTGAAATATGTGATCCACAACGAGGGCTGAAGTCTTTACTCAAATACGAGTGAGCAATGAAAATTCAAATTAAACATTAAATCAATAAAGTTTTGAAAACTATAACATGCCTTTGGAATTTTAACAGAAGAATCATTGAATCATAAAGGTAAGTTTGCTCAAGGAAAAACCATGGCCTTATTACTTCATCTTTCAAATACATAATCCCTTTCATAACCTTTTCCTTTCTTTCTTACCTTTTTAATTTATAAACAATGATCGCTTAATTAATCTCAATCACATATGACAATGTATGAAAAACTATTCATTAATTTAAGTATCGTATATTATATTAATACATATCACCAAACGTCTAGGAGTATACTTGTACTGAATCAAGGTAACATAAAATGCCATTCTATTTCCCATAGGTTTAAGAACCCCCTTTTTCACACAGCTACAATAAGCACCTTCTTTTCCATAGCTCAATAAGAGCCCTTCCTTTCCATAGCATCATAAGAGCCAACATATTTCCAGATGAATACTCCCGCATCAACTATGCTCATGCTTTATACTAAATATAATCTTAAAAATGAATGCTTTCCAATAGTACTTTCCATATAATAATTCTTGCATGTAAGATAAGCGAAATCATTGTGACAACAAGTGCCAGTCTTTACTCCTTCATCTTCTTCTTCCTCCTCCAACCTCTCTTTCTTAAAACCTACAAAACCGTAAACCCTATTTTTTTTCCTCACTTCCACTCACCAAACCACCTACATCCCTTCACAAAAAATATTCATACATACCTCCTACACCCTTCCAACAAAAAAAAATTCATCCTTCATTTTCTCTCTCTAACCTAGAGAGAGAAAATTTTCTCTCTCTAGAATGAGAGTGAAATTCCTTTATGTACGGCTCTATTTCCATACTAAGCGTCTCCCCTTCCCACCATACTTCCAAATACCTTGCCTAGAGAGAAACAAATTGCCCTCCTCTCTTTCTCTCTCCAAAAATGAGAGAGAGAGAGAGAGATTTTTCTCTCTCTAACCCCACTCCCCTAATCTCCTACACACTCTAACCCCACTCCACCAGAAAAACCCATAAAATCCTCTCTTT